AGTTACTGCAAAAATCAGCCACCAAAACAGGGTCTAAGGAAACAGAGACAAGGGAAAGGTGAGCTTCATAGGGTGTGGTGATCTTTACTGAATATTATTGGAAGAACCTAACAATAAAGCCAGATGGGAATCAGAACAGTAGTTTGAAGATTCTCCTTTGCCCAGCCTAACATGGCAGAGTAAAGTGTAAAAGGACAAATTTGAAGAAGGTGGGCAATAGCTTATCAGCAAGAACATGGGACCCTGTTTGTGGTGTGCAGGGCAGAGGCGGTGGAGGTTCATTGGAAAGCTGCCCCCTTCCACACGGAAGGCCAGGGGTGATGCCCAAGGGTGATTCCCAATGAACGTACCTCCTGTGGAGTCACTCCCTGTCAGCAGAACTGTGTGTTGCTAAAATACTGCACAAGTTTCAGCCGAGATCCCAGACTAAGATGTTCTGTTATGAACAGGCTTGAGAGCTACTTGTGAAAATGATCCCATTAAACCCTATGGGTCACAATGTTCTAATCCAAGTCGACCATGGAGATGGCGCAGGATGGGCAGTATTTTCTTCTGTTGGGAACGGGACCCCCATGACACAGAGCTAATCAAGAGAGCTAACAACAGCATGATGTGAAGAGAGAAGACGTGAGAAGAAATACCAGAGATAGTGGGAAAAGCACTTGGTTTCTGTAGGGTAAATGTATTCACATATTTCTGTTGTGAGTGCTGATGACTTTGAGATCTTGAGCATCTGTTCAGAAGGAGAAAAGACCTACAACAAACTGGTCATCTTGGAAGGAAAAAAAAAAAAGAGTAATTCTCCTATAGGCTGCATATTACAACCATTGGTGGTATTTCACAAGACTTTTTTTTTTATTTTTATTGTGATTTGGGTGAAAATTTACAGCAAATTCACTTTCATACAGCAGCTCACATATATTTTGTCTCTTGACATTGACTGTAATTTCCCACAGTGCAACAGCTCCCCTCATACTTCCTCTCCATAGTTACGTCTTCCCTGTGTCCTTCACTCTCAGACACTTCTGCTCCCTGAGCTGTCTCCCTGTGTATATACTGCCCTTCTATTCTCCCATGATTGTTCTCTCCAAGGAGTGGATCCATCTAATGTAAATGTTCAGCTTACATGCCTGTCTTTTGTTTGGCTGGAAGCCACAGGAGTGAGATCAATTCCAGACCTGAAGGGCAGCTAGGGGCCACAGCTCAGGAGTTCCACCAGGCTTTTGTTTCACAAAGCTTATATTCAAACCACGTGCTGTCACAATTAAATCAAAATCTACAATCATGAGACAAAGTCATTTTTTTTTTAAGCTCCCCATGTGTTTCTCATATGAAACCAGGGTTCAGGACCAGCAAAATACATTCCAAATAATAGCCTGCATATACACTTCTCTTAGATACTTAAGTACTCTGGGTAAGAGGTAAGGATTTTGGTAAAGAATGAAGATGATAAGTACATAACAGCAGAGTGGTGCATTTTACCAGGAAGCTTGGACCATATGTGACGATCTATGGAAGTCTCTGTAGATATAATGGGATTTGATCATGCAGATTGACCTATTCCAGAATACCCCCAAAATTGTATCAAAGACATCACAAAGGAAGCAATGTTCAAATAGAAAACCGAGGATTGAAGCCTATCAGACCTACAGAACTTATGTAAACAAGGAGAGATGATTTCAGGTTGCATATATTATGTTTTGCCATCTTTTTCAACCACACATCAAAAAATATTGCACAAGTGTTAAGATTTAGCTGTTCTGCTGAGAAACCTCCACAGAGCTCTCTTGATGTCCCTGTTCCTCAGGCTGTAAATGAAGGGGTTCAGCATGGGGGTGACCACGGTGTA